AAAGAGAATTTTAAATTATTTGCCATCCATCAGCGAGTCAAGTAAGAAGAATAATAACTAAAGAAGTTTAAGAATTTACAGTTATATTTGAAGTTGTATTAACTTTTTTATTTTTATTTTACTGTTATTATTGTTATATTGTTAGTATTTTTATAATAAATTTCATCTTTGTTATATTATCGTATACTTACTACTATTGTTATATTGTTTCTGTTGTAATAATCTTATTAATATCAATATCTTTATTTCTAAACAAATTTCTACTTATTATGCCTAAACTCTGCATAATTTGTGATAAAATTATTTGTGCTAATCATCATTCGTTTCAATGCAATAACTACCTAAGTTCAATCCACAAGAAATGTAGTTCTTTAAATAATAATGATTTTAGTTTATTAAAAAACTCTTCTGTGAATTATTGGCTCTGTATTACATGTTGCAGCAGTATTTTTTCTTTTAGTTATATATCTATTGGATTATAAACTACGTCTTCAAACTTCAATTGACAATATATTACATCTTATGATCTGCCAAATGACCTTTCCCTCTTTCCCTGCTCCCAAGAATCTGATACTTTTAACCAACTTAATCATTACTTTACTTATCAGCTAAATGACAACAACAATGATGATACGAACATAGTTGATAACCCAATTAATTGTAAATACATTGTTATTGAAAAATTTAACTTATCAAACATTAATATTGTTTTTCCCTATTTCATTTAAATATCGCTTTATTAGTTAAACATTTTGACAAATTAACCTCACTTTTATCTCTAATAAATTATGAATTTAGTATAATCGGAATTACAGAAACTAAGCTGAAATCTGATTTTCTCCCAACAACTCCAATAAATCTTAGTGAATATGTTTATGAACATACTCCAACAAAAACTTCATTTGGAGGTGCTCTACTTTATGTTTCTAATAAACTAGTTAATAAATCTAGAAATGATTTACTTATGTATAGACCCCAATTCTTAGAGTCTGTATTTGTTGAAATCATTTCCCCTAAAAAGTCTAATATCATAGTTGGCTGTGTTTATTGCCATCCTAACATGGATATTAATGAATTTATTGTTTCATTTCTAGCTATTTTATTTGAAAAACTTGCTATTGAAAAAAATAAAACTATCTTTATAATGAGTGATTTTAATATAGATCTTATAAAAGTAAACTCAGATAATTCAATCTTGGAGTATTTGAACACCATTGCTTCACATGACTTTCTTCCTTTTATTTCTTTACCGACAAGAACTACCTATCACTCAAGTACTTTGATTGATTATATATTTTCTAATTCAACTTCTAAAGATATATTTTCAGGTAATCTAACTATTAGAATATCAGATCATTTGGCACAGTTTCTTATTTATTCATCTTTTAAAAAAAGAATTATTAATTCTCAAAAAAGCAATATTATTCTTCAAAACTTCAAAAAATTAAATAGTAAATAATTTAGAAATGATTACTTTAAAATCAACTGGGATAAAGTAATCAAAGTTTAAAATAGTAATACAAATAAATCATATGAAGATTTCTTCACTACCTTTGACTGGACAAACACGCACCGCTAAAAAAAAACTAAGTAATTGTGGCTTAACTCGGAGCCTAAAACCATGGGTTACTTCAGCAATTTTAACCTTGATAAAAAAACGAAACAATGTATTTAAGAAGTTCCTGAAAACAAAAAGTCTTCATGACAAACTAATTCTTGAAAAAACTTACAAAACCTATAGAAATTTACTTGTAACATTTATTCAAAGAAGCAATAAAAAACACTTTTCTAACTATTTTACTACCAATAGTAATAGTTTAAGAGCTACGTGGAAGGGTATTAAAACTCTTTTGAATATACGTTTGAATGATATCTATTATCCATCTTGTATATCTTCAAAGAATACCATTATAAATGATCCAGTTAAAATCTCTGAACTTTTCAACTCCTTTTTTAATTCAATCCCTGAAGAACTGCAAAAAAATAACTGACTTCCATAAGTATTTAAAAACATCAAACCCTGACTCCTTTTCATTAAACCTACTGAAAAAATATCAACTATTCTTTCTCTAAATGATGGCAAGGCTTCTGGTCCAAACAGCGTTCCAACCTTTATTCTAAAACTTCTTGCTAATGATATTTCTTCAGTACTTTCTAAACTATTTAATCTCTCATTCGCTACTGGTATATTACCTAATATTTTAAAAACTGCATCTGTTAAACCAATCGATAAAAGGACTCAAAACTTGACTGCAATAACTATAGGCCAATATCATTATCAAATATCAGCAAAATTCTTGAAAAATTAGTGTATTCTCGTATCTACCTCTTTCTTGATAAAAGTGTCTCTACGGCCACCAATTTAGATTTCGTTTAAAACACTCTACTTTCCATGCACTTATTAGTATTACTGAAATGATTCATGGTGCGATTGATAGTGGCTCTTTTGCTTGTGACATCTTTATTAATCTCCAAAAAGCATTTGATACAGTTGAACATAAGATTTTAATTGAAATATTGTATTACTATGGTGTACAGGGTATTGCTAATGATTGATTTTCATCCTCTATTAACAATCGTGCTCAGTTTGTCTCAATTAATGGGTTTCAATCCACAAGTAAAGTTATTAAATATGGTGTTCCACAGGGTTCTGTTCTAGGACCTTTACTGTTTTTAATATATATTAACGATTTGCCTGACTCTATAAATAATTCGATTGTTCATCATTTCGCTGACAATACTAATCTTCTATGCATAAATAAATTACTCACACAGTTTTGTAAAAAAATTAATTCAGATCTCCATCATTTGTGATCTCCATCATTTGTGTGATTGGTTCAATAGTAACAGTCTTTTCCTAAATATCAATAAAACCGAATTTAAAAAAAAGATTGATAGTAATAATGTGAAAATTAGAATTTATGGTAAAAGACTTTTCCCATCTAAATATATAAAATACCTCGGGCTATTTCTTGACAAAAACCATCATCATGATGGTTTTTTTCTTCCTTAAGAATTATGACATTTTCTCCTTTACGATCTAATATCGAAAATAGGTTTTCTGAATAAAAAATTCTAAAATTTCAAGATCTTGTAAAGCTTTGTAATTGTCTCTTTGTGTTTGATTTTCTTCAAAATAAATTACCAAATTCGTTCAATAATTTTTTTATTAAAACAAGTGACACAAGTTTTAATAAAACACAAGTTTTATTAAAACAAGTGACACCAATATTACACTCGAAATACTGAAAATTTTAACTTGCACATTTCTTTTTTTTATTAAATATAGCAAGCTCTCTATAAAGCATCAATATATTTCTCACTGGAACCAAATAATACCATTAATAAAAAAAAATATTTTGATAAAATACCCTTTTATTACCAACATTCTTCTTCTCAATCAAAAACAAATTAAGAAAATTTTTATTTGAGTATATACTTAATAAATATTAATCTTATCTTTTATCATTATTGCTTTTTATATATTACTGCATTTATAAAACTATTATTACTTTTATTTTACACTGTCTTTTTTAACTCTACTAATATTACTATTATCATTAATTTTTCTATGTTTTATAAATCTTATTAATATTATTTATAATGATAGTGATAGTGATGTTCAATTGTAATAATAGTGATATTCAATTGTTCGTTATAATGATAGTTATATTCAATTGTAGTAATAGTTTTAGGATTATTGCTCTAATTTTTGCAAATGTTATATTTATTTTAATAATTATTTTTACCATAGTTTTTATCATTAGTTTTTTTTTTGTTTTTTTTTTTTTTTATTTTAATTCACCTCCTCAAGGCCGAGACGGCCACTACAGACGAGGAGGCTACTTATTTGTGGCTATAACCCTCTCTCAACTCTATAACTCCGAAACACGAACCTTGACGAACAAGGCCGCTGCGCGGAGAAACGAGTTGAGCGCGGTACTACCAGGGACGTGGTGGGAATTGAACTCGGAACCACTCGTTTATGAAGCAAGCGCTCTACCACTACACCACTACCGCATTATATTGTTTAATTATAATGTTTAGTAGTTATAATGTTTAGTAACAGTTATAATGTTTAGTAAAGTTATCATGATATAGTTACTATTTATAATATTTTTTATTCATATCTTTATTTTATTTTAAATTCTTTCTGTTTTAATTATAGTTGGTTTTTTTTTTTTTTTGGTTTTTTTCTAGGTGTCACTCCATTGACTAGTTTTTAACTATATGAGTGACATCTAACCTTATTTATGTGAGTTTATAAAATATTATTGTAAATTTTCATATTTTATGGTTAAATAAATGGTTATTGTTATTATTATTATTATTATTTGACGTCAGAACTCATTCCATTGTTTTTTTTGAATTTTGTAAAGGTTTTTTATTTGTATTTTTGAACGGTTTTTTCTTGATTTAAGTATATGGCTGATGAGTGCCGCAAATGGCATAAAACTTTAAGTACTGTAAAAAAGTTGTTTTTTTCCATTTAACCTTTTATTTATTTATTGAGCTATTTTGTGATTATTTCATTTTATATTAATCACTCTCAAATCGAAAAAAAGTGGATTATTATCACATAATCAAAACAATATATATATATATATATATATATATATATATATATATATATATATATATATATATATATATATATATAACAATATATATATAACAATATATATATATGTGTATATATATATATATATATATATATATATATATATATATGTATATGTATATATATATATATATATATATATATATATATATATATATATAGATATAGATATAGATATATAGATATAGATATAGATATATATATACATATATATATATATATATATATATATATATATATATATATATGTATATATATATATATATATATATATATATATATATATATATATATATATATATATATATATATATATATATATATATATATATATATATATATATATATATATATATATGTATGTATATACACACACACACACTGTTAAAAAATTTGCCGTAGATTCAATGGAGAATGTCCGGCAGCAAGTGACAGCACTTTTCAAAATTAACGGTTTCCATAGTTTCTATTTTCCACAAAAATCAACGGAAAAAGTGCATAAAAAAAGATACAGAACTTTCTCTGTAAAATTTACGGTTTCCCTATTTCATTTTTTCCGTACAAATTAACAGAGAATGTCAGGCAGCAAAGGGACAGCAGTTTCTCCATAAAATTTACGGTTTCCGTATTTCATTTATTCCATTTAAATTAATGGAAAAACTCCGTTAATTCAGCAAATAGACAGTTACTTGACTCATTTTACAGAGTTTACGCAAAAATCGAAAATAAATGAATAGAATTTAAGAAACTACTCGTATTTTAAATGGTTAAAAATTATAATATAATACACACCAAGTAATAATTAGTTATAATAAATATAGTAGTTATTATTATATTATATAATATTTATGATAACAAATAATATTTTATTATGACAAATTATACTATATTATAAAAGGTATTATATATATTATATTATCATAGTTATAATAAACATAAACAAGCGTCTTTTGATCTATTGATGCTCTGTCCACTCAAACAGCGTTAGTTTGTTTACAAAACTCAAAACTTTTGGGTGAGGTCCAACATACTGCTTTTTACCAATTTTTTTTTTGATTTAATTTCCTTTTTCAGGATTTATTTTTGTGATACATTTAAATAATAATTAGATCAGATTAAAAAATTATTATTTACAGTAAAAAAAAAAAAAAGAAAAGAAAGTAATGTTGAAAAATTGTATGTAGAGCGAGCATGTCGAGCATGCAGTTGCAGATAATCAGGATGTAGTGATAGAAGAAAGCTTAGGTTAGAATTAGATAAAAAATACATTGCAGGTAATATGAAAAAGCTATGGATTTTTATAGATTTTTTATAAACAAGTATGAAAGTATATCATCACAAAAACTGAGAAAAACTTTCAATAGTAGTATTTCATTTTAAGAGTTACAATCAAAATTAATCAATATATATAAATACAAATAAATAAATAATAATTTAATGATTATTAATATCAAATTTAATGCTTCTACAGATAACTTTGTCAAAAACCACAATTTTAAATGATTTAAATATATATCAGATAACAAGAATAATGATTAAGAGAGCTTTTTTAAACTGCACTGCAAAAAAGTAAATATAAAAATACATCTAATATACCATTTTATTTAATATATACCTTCTTTTTATGCGTTTATCCTCCATGTGGTGTATCCTCCTCCGAATAATTGCTATATAGAGGATATATACCAAGGCCCAGGAAGATGAGTTTAGCTCACTAATCATCATAACCCGTTTGCAGACTAAGGGTAAGTGGTTTTTAGAAGAATGAAGGATATTTGAGAGTAAGTTAGTAGAAGTCTAGTTAAAAAGTTGGCATAGACAGTATTGCACTAGATGTTAGAATGTGCAACTTATGTTCAATATCAAGTTCACTTGATAGGAACTCTTGTTACGTATAAAGTTTTACATAATTTACGTAAATTTTATTATTATTATTATATATATATATATATATATATATATATATATATATATATATATATATATATATATATATATGATTCACAAAATAAGGTTCGGTGTCATTTGTATAGTTTAAAACTAGTCATCGGAGTGACACCTTAATAAAATAAACAAAGAAAACAAAAAACAAACAAGCAACAAAAAGTAATAATATAAATAGTGACCAAAAAATTTTTATAACAAAAAGGAGAATAATACCTATTAAAAAAAGTCAGAATAATAACAAAAAAGGAAAAAGTGAATGAGCTGTGTTGAGAGTTAATGAATGAATGAGATAACACAACATTTATCGATAAGAAGGGTGATAGAAAATAAAAAAGAAAACAAAAAGATATATCTAAATATCATGGTAAGACAAAAAAATATGAAATCACTTGAAAAATAGACCAAATGTAAAACACAACAATAATAAAAATAATTAGCAACAACACCACACATACACAAAATAAAATAAAATAAAAGTATAATAATATAAACAAATCACATATTAACACGTCAATATAAACAATGCACAAAATTACATGACATTATAAACAAAAATAGAAATACACTACAATATAAACAATACACAAAGGTATTTAAACAATTCAAACAATATAAATAATTAAAACTTAAAAATTGTTGTTTTTTATGCTTTCTTTTATTTTCTTTTAAAAACTTGTTTTTTATTTTCAATAATCTCAAGGATGTTTTTTCTTTTAACTTTTAGTTGTTCTATTTATTTAATATTTTTCTTCAATTTATATTTTTTAAAGTTTTCATTCATTTTATTAGTTTTTTGTAAATTTCTCCTCTAAACAATTTTTATAAATTTTTTCTTTTTTCTACTTTTTAGCTTTCCGCTGTTAAAAAAATACTTCCTATATTTGCGTAACATAATTTACTAATAAGTCAAGTTTTAATTGCAATTTTATTTAGAAATTGAATTTGCGATTAAAAGTGTATTTATTTGAGATTAATTTTTTGTTTTGTAATATATATAAATATATAAATATATGTTTATATATATAATAAATATATATATATATATATATATTATATGTATATGTATATATATATATATATATATATATATATATATATATATATATATATATATATATATATATATATATATATATGTATATATATATATATATATATATATATATATGTATATATATATATATATATATATATATATATATATATATATATACATATATATATATATATATATATATATATATATATATATATATGTATATATATATATATGTATGTATATATATATATATATATATATATATATATATATATATATATATATATATATATATATATGTATATATATATATATATATATATATATATATATATATATATATATATATATATATATATATATATATATATATATATATATATATATATATACATACATATATATATACATATATATATATATATATATATATATATATATATATATATATATATATATATATATATATATATATATATATATATATATATATGTATTCAATATAATGTCTAAATAAAATTGTACATAAACTTGACTTATTAGTAAATTATGTTTTATTTATTTACAATGCTATAAAATCCTTTTCTTATGAATTGAATTTTCTAAAATTCATATTGTTTAGTGTTTCTTTTATATACTATAAAAACGTAACACTAAATAATGAACTTTAAATAATTCAATAGATAAGAAAATATTTTTATACCATATAATGTACCAAAACCCTATATAATGTAGGAAACCAATTTTCAGAAGAATTCTGAAATTTGAAAAAGAAAAATTCAGAAGAATCATTAATAAATATCTATATCATCCAAAATTTGCTTCACAACAGCAACTTAAGTTTGATATTTAGTAAATATATATCATTGGACGTAATATAAAAAAACATAATGTTGCTAGAACTGTACAAAATATATAAGCATTTCATGGCAATATTCTTTTTTGTTGTTTTCATAAATTTTGGATAATGATATTTTGAATTTGCTTTCAGAGTGCAACAACACGAATGTCAACGAAGCTCAAACTTAGAGTCGCTATCTTACTTGACTGCTGCAAAATGCTCTAAACGGATATCTGCTAAAAAGTTTGTTTCAAAATAGTTTGATTAGGGGCTGGAGATGGGATAAGTTGCATTTTCGCTCTTTATATTTTTAAATACTAGACGACTTTTTTTATTATCCACTGTTAAAATAAACTTAACTTCGTTTTTAAATAAAACTTGAACCTTACACTAGCAAGGGACACGGCAATAGACACAGCAACAGAAATTGCGGGAAAACCACGGTTATTGCGGTATTTTTCACTAAGACGGACAACGTAACGGTACCAGTCATACCTCAGTAGTGATAACAGATTTTTTAGTGGTTTCTGCGGCAATTGTAATTTATATTTAGGCTTTGTAATTTATATTTAAAATCTCTATATATTATAAAGCATTTGCAGTCATGAAAAATATTTCTATTCATTTAAAAGTTTAGGTATATATTACTAATTATTTAAGCTGGGAATGGATGGGGAGAAATAATTTTGTGAATGCTTTATGGCTAGAGAAAAATCTAATAGGCATGGTGATGTGATAAAAAAATGTATATATGGGTATGGATGGATTTCATTTTTTTCCTCCGTGTTATTTTCTACTTTCGAACTAAACTCATGTATGTTGGCAACATTTTATAATGTATTATAATGTATTTTATAATGAAGTGCATATTTTATTAATAATTTTGATAATAAATTTAAATATAGTTGTTTTTATGACACCCACAACTTTTGTACATACGTATTCTGGTAAGCATATTCAAAGTATTCAAACTAAACATCTGTGAATCTGCAAAAGAAAGTTTGAAAAAATGAGTAGGCAAAAATAAAAGCGCTATACTTTTGCTATAATTTACACACTAAATTTAACGTTCTACATAAAGATAGGGTCCTGCGCTTTGTTTTAAAATTTTCTAACATGCTTTCTATTGCGAAATTTGTCATAAATTTATTTAAATATGTATAAATTCAAAGTTTTATTTCTCCCTATTTCATGGAAAATCTTTTTCCGTATCGGGTATCGTTTTTCGTTAGTCACGCAAATACTGAATAATTTAAAACTAAGGATTGAAATGCGGACAAAAAACTCAAATATGTATAACAACAGCAATACAAGTTCTTCAGTTTTTGATATAAACTTTCAAGAACTTTTTAAATTCTTTTTTTTATGCTTGTGAATTGTGTGCACTATAATGCACAGAACAGAACAAAGAAAAGTTTATTCATTTTTAACAGAACCAAACTTGCTTGATAATTCTATGTAATATTCAGTAGAATCGTTAAGAAGTTGTTGTTGTTTTTTTTTAGAATCGATGAGAAGTCGTTTTTTTTTAGTAGAATTGATGAGAAATCTTTTTTTTTTTTTTAGTAGAATTGATGAGAAGTTGTTTTGAAAAGGGAGATGGCAAAATTGAATCTTATTTCCTAATCCCAAAGCTTACTTTTAGGAAACAGCCATCAACTCCTAGTTTCACATTGTGGTTATCAAAAAAAGTTTAACTATTTGTTGAGGAAGCAACTAAAAGCCTTTGCAGCAAATAACATGTTTAGTTATAGAGTTTGTTTCGTTTTCCTATTCAACTTTGATCGAAGTTTTTGTAAAACAATTTTTAATCTGTTTGCTTAACTATTTAAACTTAGAGTGGAAGTTTTTCTCAACAATCCAGTTCCAAAAAAAAACTTGGCTAAAAGTTTATACAACCAGCGTTTGACAGCCCTGTGTTGTATATAAACAACCTTTTTAGTTGTTATTTGTTGCCTTAATTGAAAAGTCTCCGGGTTCTTAAATCAAAACCGTAAAAATGATTAAGAGAAACCATATGCTTTTATAAAAAAACATTTAAACATTAGCAAAAACATTCAAAATATTGAACAACAAAACTTCCAAAAATTAAGCTGATATTTTAAACGTGTAAATAAAACGGAAGCCTAGCCTCATAATCCACATGTCTACTTAGAGGAACATTTTTCCATGAAATTAAGTTTTCTTGTTTGAAATGACTGGTACTGTAACTCCCTCAACTCCTACAGAGTTTTTTGAGATGACTTCTGTTAAATTCTTTCGCAGGGTAGACTTGGAACAGTTTTGTGAAAAGCCCTGGCCAACTTTTCAATTGCATTGAAAATATCTTTGTTCAACTGTTTTAGTTTGTCTCAAATATTGGGATTAGTAAGACTGGATAGTGTGACTTATGATTTGCTTTGCCAACTGAGCAAATTAAAAAGTTACAAAGTATAAACTTCAACAATAAAATAATTGTAATTTATAATAAGTTCTTTAAGACATTCTACTCTGTGTGCAATGCAAATTTTCCAGTCTCTGAAGAAACTGTGAAATCAAAAAGCATAAATAGTCCTCTAAAATTAACTTAAAAAAATTAACAACAAATTAGTCAAGGGTTAAAAAAAGGATTACCAAGGGACTAAAAGATCTTCAAAAATTTAACAAAAATTATATGTAAAATACTTAAAAATAAAATCCAATGCAAATCTCCAAATATATAAAAGCTACAAACTTCTCTTTGAAAAAATTTGTAAAACTTTAGAATAGAATCATTAATTGCTAAATATAAAAACGACTCAAAATTATTATGGAAAATATTAAAAGAAATAACAGGAAAACAGAAAAGCTTCTCCAATATCCTACCAAAAATGACTAAAATAATCAACGAATGGATGTAATGAAATAACAAATGAGTTTAATAATAACTTTACAAGTATTGCAAGAGAATTACTAATAGGATTCCTTCTACTGATATTTTTTTTCATGATTTTATAAAATCTACCTATAATTCACTTTTTGTAAATTTTCATATAATAAACAATAAATCGTCTGCCGAGAACAGAGTTGTTATTCCTTGGCCTTGACCTTGTCTTTGGTCTTGGCCTAGAAAATTTTGACCATGGCTTTGATTTTTTTGGCCTTGGTCTTAAAAAAACAACAACATGAAATTAAAGAATTAAAAGTTTTTATTCTTTATTTTTATGTATTTTTGTTTTCGGCTTTCATATATATCTACAAGTATATTTTCTTATTGACGTTTAATTCTGCGCATAACCTTGGTTTATTTTTACAACATGTGGTTTTACTGTCACAGCAATTGTTACCTACAGTTTTGTTAATAATAGGCCTAAACATACGGCAAAAATTTAAATTTTTGGTTTTGAAAATGTCTGCGTAGGCCTTGGCCTTGAAAATGTTATTCTTAGCCTTGACCTTAAAACTATTGGCCATGGCCTTGTATTTTTTGACCTTGGTCTTGCCCTTGGCTTTATAACTTGTGGCCTTGGGATTAGCCTTGCTACTTTTGGCCTTGTTAATAACTTTGGTCAAGAATCAGAAGAGCATACGTCCATTTTTTTGTATTTCCGAAATAAATTGAGTTTTAGCCTTTGTGCCTGAAAATCCAACTGATTATTTATATACTTTCTGAGGTGCTTTTTTTTTTTTTTTTTTGAGACCAAATTTAGCGGACACACGCTCCACTGGATGACAATTATTCACTGGTAATAAACAGAAAAAACACTAAATGTGGATATAAAGTCTCTTGGTTTTAAGCCGACGAGATGTGTTTATGATTGTTATGACGTTGCTAAGACAAGCAAAGTTGTTAATTTAGTATTTTTAATATATTTCCGAATATAAACTCTGCTTTATGCATACAGAGGATAAAATTTTGAAAAAAATTTTGAAGATACAAATCTCCACGAAGTGACAAAGTTCACCCATTAGTTCTAAATAATTGTCCATAAAATCTTAGCAAACCGTTATGCATTATTTTCGACCGATCGCTAGAATTGGTCGAAAATAATGCATAACAGAATATACTACCAGAACTTTTGCTCTTTAAGCGATCTCTTTTTTTAAACAACAATGTAATGTTTGCTCGAAGCAAACATTACATTGTTGTTTAAAAAAAGAGATCGCTTAAAGGCTGACGACTGCAGACCAATTCTCTTTAACCTTGATAATATGCAAACTAATGGAAAGTTTTGTCAGACGTACAATAATGAAACACCTTGTTGATAACAATTTAATAACCAAAGACTAACATGGTTTTATAAAATCAAAAAGCTGCATTACAAACCTGCTAGAAACCTTAGATACGCTTACTGATTTTTAAGAAAAAGGTGTGCTGATATTGCCTTTTTAGATTTCGCAAAAGCTTTTGACTTGGTTCCACATTTTTTTCCACAGAAGATTAAGTTTCAAATTGGAGTCAGTTTGTATAAAGGGGTTATTACTTAATTGGTGTGTGTCGTTTTTGAATAACAGAAAACAAAAAGTAGTTCTAGGGAAATATGTATTAGAATGGGAAACTGTAAAGTGGAGTACGCGACTATCAGTTCTTGGTCCTTTAATGTTTTATAATTTTCATCAATGACTTAACACAGGGTTTAAATAACAAAGCTAAATTATATGCAGATGACACAAAAGTGATTTTTGTGTCATCTGCACTTAAAGTATGCATTTCAAATATGGAACCTCACTTAAAGTTTGCATTTCAAATATGGAACCCATACTACGCTAAAGATATTATTCTTATAGAAAGAGTCCAAAAATGAGCAACTAAAAATTATTTTTGAAAAGGTATTAACCAGGGCTGTGGAGTCGGAGTCGGAGTCGGAGTTGCGATATTTTTAGCGGATTCGGAGTCGCTAAAAAAATCGTGACTCCGACTCCAATAGTAAAACTTCTTAATATTGCACGTGCATGTAAAAAACATTCAATAAACTTTATGTTTATACTAAACCTCAAAGAACGTTTAATAAATTTGTCAAAAAATAAATTTTTAACTTATCGCGTAATATCTTTTAAAGAATTCAATGAATTTTTCGAAAATTTTGCTATGCAGTTGGAGTCGGAGTTGGAGTCGGAGTTGTACTTAAAAAATTTCAATAACTGGAGTCAGAGTCGTTATCTTTTTTTGACGACTCCACACCCCTGGTATTAACTATGCACGGCAATTTTTTTTGATCACTTGCTATGGTTAAGAAATTTTTGGATACGGATGTAACGAAAACAGTTTATTTTATTTTTACGCGCCAATTTTCTCCAAATAACCTATTAAAAAATTCATAATGGTTTCTGAACTACCTTTTTACCGATAAAATAACTTACTATCAAACTCGTGAATAGATTCCATCCATGATGCATCTTATGATCTAAAAACTCACATATGGCTTCATAATGTGTATATCTAAAATTCCAGTTTACAACACATACCTTCAGAGACGTATTTTAATTTTTGGCGCCCTGGGACACTTTAAGCGCCCTTTATTTAAGAATAACTGTCAACTTTGATATGGGCTTATTATTAAAAAACAAAAACATTTTTTATACAAACCTATATTAAGTTATATTAATCACTATAGAAAATTATAATTTTTTATGTGAGTTTCGTTTGATTTGTCAAATGCACTAGCATATACTAATTTTCAAATGCAACGGCATATACTAATTTAATATAAGTCGTTTAAACACTATTATTAAAAGTTCCTTTGGAAAGCTGACACATGCTCGAGCATTCATATAGTATATGCATATAGAATATTCATATACCTGACTAATATTTTTTCATGGTTGCATCAACTCGTTTTATAACTAGCTTAAAATGAGAAATGAAAATAGTGAAGTTTAGTTTGTTAAATTTCACAATTTTCAATTTTATTATGGAAGTTATTAGAATTATGTTTGCTAAGTGATTTGAACACTATTACAAATAGTTGTAGTTGTGCTCTATTGAAGTTGAGTGAACCCAAAACATAATTTATTTGTTTCTCCCAATGCTTTGATCAGTTACTCAGTAATAACTTGCGGCGAGCTGGGTAATATATGATAATAATGGGCCGATAATATTAGATAATCTCTCTTGAAATGAAAAAGATTAGGCTTTCAGTTCAAGACAACCTACCCATACCCAAACCCTCAGTTGATGTACATAGATGTATTTATATTTTTGATGCCCTGAGAATATGATTTTTTAACCGCCTCTTTTACAAATAACTGAATACTTTGATATGGGGTGATTATTAAAAAAACAACAACATTATTAATACAAACATATATATTAGGATAAAATCACTCAACATTAAAAATCTATATATAGGTTTCTACGTGAGTTTTGTTTTGCAAATGAATTTATAATGTCATTAAAGCTCATATCTATGAGTTGCAACCTATTAAGACGTTCACTTTTCATTTACAACCTCAAATAAGATTTAACCCTCTTTAATGCTGAAAATGATATCTCCGCTGAACAATTGGACGTCGGGCAACATAGATATATTCTTAATGCTATATCTACATAAAGAATCTTCATAAAGAAACAGCTCCTGAAGTTTTTCAGCTCTGATCATTTTATAAATATCTATTATATTTTTACGTTTTCAGTTATACTCATTGAATAACTTCTGAATTGTATACACTCGTTAGCAAATGAATACGAAAGATAATTTTTATATACATTTTGAAGTACTGCTTTTTTGTAAACTTCTGATGGCGAAAGTTTTATTATTTGAAATAAAAAGTTAAATTTTTTATTGGCTTAATCATAGCACAATTTTCTTCTTTCTAGCTCAGAATAAAGTTTATCAATTATAACGTAATATGTATTAATTCTTAAAATAAAGAAAAAATAAAAATAAAAAATTTTTAAAAAGAATTTAATTCATTAACATCATTAATAAGTTTTTGTTTCAATTTTTTTTTGAATAGGTAAAGAGAAGAACAATTTTTCAGCTCGTCACTTAATAAAGCGTTCCGTAATTTAGGACCTCTTATAGCAATAGAAAATTTGGTAGCCAAATAATGCATTTTAGGTTGCTTATAATTGTACTTAGAAAATCTTGTAGGGTACATGTGATTAATTTTATTGAAAAGTGTACTAAATATTATAGGTGATATTTTATTATGAAGTTTGTACATAAAAATAAGAATTTGATAAAGGTTTAACTGAAAAACATTGAGTATTTGAAGATTATTAAATAGTTTTTTAGTATGTGTGAATCGACCTGCATTTGAAATAATTCTGACAGCATGTTTTTGTTTACTAAGCAGTTTTTTAATTTTACTTATATTAGAGCTGCACCAGACAATGTTTGCATAGTTTATATAACAATGTATGAGGGAGAAATATAAAATTTTTAGTCAGTTTTGGTTTAAAAACTGCTTAGGTTTGAATAGTATACCAATATTTTTTGAAACTTTATTTTCTATTGTACTTTCTATTACTATTGTGTTCTATTATATTGTATACTATTTTTGTACTATTGTGTTCTCTCCATGTTAAGTTTTCATCAAGTATCACTCCTAAAAATTTTATTGATGACTCTCTAATTATTTTAGAGTTGCCAATATAAAGATTAGGAAGTTTTAGTGGAATGTTTTCTTTATCGTGAACTCTATAAAAAAAAGTATACTTAGTTTTATTTAAATTTAAGGACAATTTGTTCGCCTTGAACCATTCCGCTAGATTTAAAAGTTCTTTGTTTACTATTTGAAATAAAAGTTTAATATCTCCATTAGAGTAAAATAAATTCGTGTCATCTGCAAATAAAACAGAGTTTAAAATGTTTGAAAACTTATGAAAATCGTTTACATAAATAAGAAATAAACGAGGACCCAGAATTGAACCTTGGGGAACACCGCAATTTATTGTCATATAGGAAGATTTTCCTTCTTCGTATGATATGTATTGTTTTCTATTGTTTAGATAACTTATGAACCAATCTAAATATGTGCTTTTAATACCATACCTTTCGAGTTTTTTTATAAGAATATTATAGTCTACTGTATCAAAAGCTTTGCTAAGATCTATAAAAACTCCAAGAGTAAACTTTTTATTGTCAAATGCTTTAAATATATCATGAACAATATTAATAATGGCATGGTCAGTTGAATTACCTGGCTGAAATCCAAATTGTCTATTATATAAAATATTATTTGTATTTAAAAAATTCAAAATCCGATTATATATAATTCGCTCTAAGATTTTTGAGAAGCAAGAGAAAATTGAAATTGGTCTGTAAAATTACAGACCAATTTCAATTAGAATTAGAAATATCTCCTGATTTAAAAATAGGTATAACCCTTGCAATTTTAAGTTTCTCAGGATAGACACCTTGTTTTGAAGAGAGATTAAAAATATGTAAGAGAGGGATTGTCAAGTATTTTATTGATTTTTTTATTACATTACTACTAATATTATCAACTCCTACACTTTTGTTTTGTTTTAAAAGATTTACTGCATCTATAAGTTCATTTTCAGTAATTTCATAAATATCCATTTTAAAGGTCTTATTAGGAGTAAGATATGTCTCAAAGTTTACTTCAGTGGTTTCTATTTTTGACGCTAGAGTGGAACCTACACTTACAAAATATTGATTAAGTGTTTCGGCAATTAAAGATTTATTTGTAATAACTTTATTATCAATTGTTAGATTTATAGAAAGAATATTTCTGTCAGTTTGTTTCGTACTAATTACTTCCTTAATAATGTTCCAAATATTGTGCCGATGAAATTTATGTTTAATTAATTGCTCGGTATAGTACAACTTCTTGGACTTTTTAATAACCATCTCAAAAATACGTTTATAATTTTTGTAATTGGTTTCATTGTTGAAAGTTTTTTTTGAGAAATTTATTATATAGTCGTTGCTTTTTTTTGACGACTTGATAATTCCCGGAGTTATCCATGGATTTGATAATGACTTTTTTTTCACACATTTTGTAATTAATGGAAACGCTGTATTATAAAGTTGTTGTAATTTATCTAGAAACTTATTGTATGCCTTATTTGTGTGTGCAATATCAAGGAGGTCATCCCAGTTTAAATCTGCTAGAAGACTATTAAAATTTTCAATGGATTTTTCATCTATTTCCCAGTGGGCACGCGGACGGCTTTAGGACGTCTTTAAGACGTCCCGATCGGACGTCTTAAATTGGTTGGATTTGGAAATACAGAAAGACGTCCTGCGTGGAACGTTTTAAAGACGCCCCAGAAGGAACGTGAAAAAGACGTTCTGAGAGGAACGTAAAAAAGACGCCTTACGAGAAACATAAAAAAGACGTCCCGATAGGACTAAGAAATTTAGTTTAGTTTAAGTTACAGTTTAGAAATAATAAAAAAACATTAGGTATGGAATGCCATAAATAGGTCTTATTTGGTGCGTATTTTTTTATACGTTAATTTTTAGACTTATTAATTTCAAATACCATTAGAAAAATAAGAATTCAACACAAAAATTAGTATAGTGAAATTTATTTACAGAAATTAATTACAAATTAGGTTCGATGCATCTATCACTTCCACTATCGACAATTTCTAGCACCAAATTTTTTCGATCTGGACCACATTTAAAAATGTTGCCAGCAAATGAATGAACTTCATTCTAAAAACACAGTCTAATAAATAAGCTATAATATCTTATACAAAATTTTCAAAGTCAACTTTTGCAACTGATTAAATAAGAGTTCACAGTTGATTTTTGTGCGAGTGTGAGTTTGCAGTATTTTAAAATTCGTCAAAACTAAGCATACAAAATACAATACAAAATATATTACATTAACAGGTATACCTATAATTGTCTTCATTAAATTTGCTTCACAAAAACTCTTTTTTTTACCAGCTAAGTTAAATAAACTCATCAGTTTATTTCACATTAATCTAAATAAACAAATGACAAAAATAAAATCAGATCAGATCATAAGCAGTTTTAAAATTATGAATATAAGTTCATTTACAAGTTCAAATTACCCAGCCAGCATTTGGTCCAAAAAGAACGTTTTTCAGGATCAAATGCGGGCCAGGTATGTTCTGCTAAAATACATTAAAAAAATATTTTTTGGCAGAATATAATTTCCAAACTTATAACATATAACATTCTACAATTATATATCACAAATGTGTTTAAGATTTACACCTATGTTTCCACACTTGTATGGTTTAGATGGTTCTCCATAGTAATGGCTCTCTCAAAAAGATTTGCAGCAACATTTCAAAATTTTATTAGGAGATGCGCTATCCAGTTATTATAGAGATCAGTGACATAAACCAAGTTTACCATTTTTATTTTTTGAATTACCAAGACTCATACTTACGGCTATAAGTCTTTATTTTTCAAAATAATCACAGGTGATTTGGTTAATGTAAATTAAATAATAAAAATAGCGACACTTGAAATACCAATAAAAATGCTAAAAAAATCTAAGAAAAGATGGATTAAGGAAAGATTGCGTGAAAGTATAAAGAAACAAAGATTAGCATCGCATAAAACAGGGCTTGAATGTAACTTAAATGCTTATAGAAGAAGAAAAAAAAATGTTAATAAGATATTTTAACTCTCTATCCAGCAAAGATGCTCAAGATTCGTATCTTGCAAGTTTAATAACTTTAAATAACGTTTTAAAAAGAAGACCACGAAACATTAATTTAAAAGATTATAATAGCAGTTACAAATATAAATTTTTAATTACAAATCACGAGATACTCACGAGTTCGTTTATTTATGTTTGCTTTTCTGCGTTTATTTCAATCTTTGGCATAAAGAATGGAAGATTAGAGACCATTAAAAGAAGCCTTTTAACTAAAGGTAATTTATATATTTTTATTGAATATAGAATGCTTATTTTTAATGGAAGTTTTCTTATATATAAAAATTATTTTTTCTCATTATAGGTCACTCTCCCCATGATAGAAGAGGTAAACACAAGAATCAGTATAACAATTTTACTCCTTAACTAAAAAATAAAATATGTGATCATATTTCTTCTTTCAGAGGTAGATACCACGATCTATTAATTATAACCAAGATGAATGACTTGTTTAAAATTAAGTATGGAAATGATAAATTGTCATATGAATCTTATCGCAACATATTTAACAAAAGTTTTAACATTTCTTTTGGGTACCCTAGGACTAAAACATTCTAATGAGTTTAAAATTAAATTTGATGCAATAAAAATTGAACTATCTTTTAATTCAGAATTTACAAAGCCTGAACAACAATTGCATGAGCTTGAGTTACAGAAAGAACAGCACCACAAAGATGCAGAAATATTTTATGTTAGGAAAAGAAATGCTCGGTTTAAAGCACAAAGGGAGTACAAATTTGAGGCAATTGCTTTCGATTTCAAAAAAAATCTTAACTTACCAAATCAATCAACCAACGACTTTTACTACAAACGAAAATTAGCATTTTATTCATTTAATATTCACGTGCTTTCAAGCAATGAAGTTTATTTGTATTGTTATGATGAAACTATAGCTAAAAAAGGGGCTGATGAAGTAACTTCGATGATTTTTTTATAAAACATTTAGACAAAGAAATTTGATCTGTAGAGCTATTGTGATTCATGTGCTGGCTAAAACAAAAACTATACATTAATTTGTTTTATTGATTTTCTTGTTCATGAAAAAAAAAGGTTTGACTTTATTTTTCATGAACAAGAAATATTTATATCTGTTATGGAATGTGATAAAGATATGGGATTAATTAATTTCAAAACACCCACTAGTGATGCATCAGTTTGGATTAAAACATTCAAAAATGCTCATAAAAAACCCACTCTGTTTCATGTTATAGAATTAACGCAAAGTATGGTTAAAAGTGTAACTGATTTTATGAGACCATTTTATAAGAATAAATGTTCAATTCCAACTTGTCCTCTTTGTGAATTTTGTTTCAGAGGAGACTCAAGTGGCATTGTATTTCATCATGATTCGTGGAATGGATTATTGTTGAAAACTAATTTAAAAAATAATAGGAAGAACACTATAAATAGTGAAATCCCCATTCTGTATAATGCAGAACTTTGCATCTCTTTGGCAAAGTACAGAGATTTACAAGTATTAAAAGGTTTGCATCCAATGCTCAGGTTTACGATTCTTTGCCATACAATCAGGAGGTTATCGAGACATTTCATGAAAATATTGATTCTGAAGATGAAGAGCAAATAGACTTCTTTTTTTATTTAAATTTTGTTTTTAATTGTTTTTTTTTTTTAGTGTTTCTTGACAAATTTATAATCTTTAATATGTTTTTTCTTTGCTTTACTTCATATACAACAATTTATATAATTAATAATCACAAGATATTGAATATATCTTTTAATTTAGTCAGGGTATGAGAATAAAAATTCAGATCAAATAAATACTAAATTGTTTTTAAACCTATAAAATTTTAAAGCCCCTTTATTATCAGGAAAGAAACTTTGCATTAAATAACTTTTTGTGCTTACAGTTTTGTGACACCTGTATAGGTATAGTTATATAGGTATTTAATAGGTTAACCTTTAAATTAAAAACAAATTGAACTTTGTCATCAACAGTGATATTTTTGAATGAAAGATTCATAATAAAAATTAAAGCCTTTCGTTAACGAGAACCTCCAAAGGACCGATTAATTAGTTCAAGATAGAGAATGTTCGAGTTTCGAGAGTAAAATCTATAAATAAGGGTTCGATTGGATTCAAAAAAGTTCGAGATACCAAGTATTCAAGATATCGAGAGTTGACTGTATGTGATATTTTCATGCACGACATAAGAACAAAAATTGAAGCCTTTGGTTAACGAGAACTATAATTATTTTCTAAACGAGATATCAACACTAATCAGTATTTTTAATTTTAATTCGATCCCCTAGACTTTTTAAGGGTCAATATTAGGTCTTGGTTGTGAGGTTGTTTGGTAAAATTAGCTTCTGCCTAATTTTATTTATAAGCTAATAAAAAAATGATTAACATTTTATGTTTTTAATTGATCGAAAAACTAATAAAATAAAAAAAGATATTTTACCGGGTAAAAAACGGCAGAGTCCATAAAAAACCTCACTTAAAAAAGAAAACCTACAACGTAAATTATTATATTTAAATTATAAATACAACTTTAATTGCATAAAAAATTAGTTCCTTTTGTAATATATCTTAAAAATTTTAATCCTTCCCCTAAAAATAAAAAAGTTATATAGGTTTAAAAGTTTAAAAATGATTTATCGCAAAATGAAAAAATGTGACCTTGCCGTTTCTTCCCGTGGAGTCTTCATATATATGATGATAAATTTCTTCTGTATATAACACGTCTGCTTGCCGTAAAAACGATTTAACTTACGATTTAGCTTCTGATCTTGTAATACTATATTTATTGGTAGATATTGGTAGATTTGATAAAAGACAGAGCATAAACTATTTTAATCCAATTTTTGTTTAAACTAATACTTGCATCAGATCTTGCTGACCACCTGGTATCTGATAGTTTTTTAAGTGATACATTTTTTGTTTTAATCAAATTCTACTGAAGTATTTCTTATCTATAAGTAGAGGCACTGAAAAATTTATACCAGGCCAGTCAATAAGTTTCTAGAATCACACATAAATGGCGGTAATAGGACTGTCATTTTATTTTTCTCACATTGATACTACCTTTGTATGAACACGTTTAAAGTTTCGTGTAGATTAGTGGATTAGTGATATATTTACAGCTGTTTAAAGTAGAAGTGTCACTATGTTTTTTTACTACGGAAAAAATCAAGTATCAAGCAGTGATTGAATTCCTATTTTTGGAAAGTGTAGAATCAAAACTGATTTTTGAACGATTGTTAAAAGTGTATAAGGATTCTTCACCTTCACTTGCAACAGTGTTTAATTGGGTTGCTGAGTTAAACGTTGCTGTACAAGTCTAGTAGACGATCCACGGGAAGAACGTCCAAAAAGTGCATCAACACCAAAAATTATAGCAAAAATACAGGATTTAGTTTTTAAAGACAGGCGATTGACTGTGAATGAGCTAGTTGACACCGTACACAACTCACATGGTACAGCGTATAACATATAAGTGAGATTTTGGGTTTGAAAAAGCTTTGTGCATAATGGGTGCCGCATTTGCTAACAGTGCAACAAAAACACCTTCGAATGCGACTTTCTCAACAACATTTGGAGCGAATTCGAAAAGATTAAAAGAATTTTATGTGTTGTTTCATCACTGTGGATGAGAATTGGGTCTATCACCATTATCCTAAATTAAAGCAAGAGGATAAAGAGTGGTGTGAGCCCGAAAATTCGGCTCCAAAGCCCGAAAATTCGGCTCCAAATCGGCCAAGAAGGTGTTAGCGTCAGTTTTTTGGGATCCAAAAGGAATTTTGATGGTGGATTACCCCCGAACTGGCAAAACAATCAATTCTGATTATTATTGAAGCCTTTTGGAACAATGGGATAAAAAAATTCGTGAAAAAAGAACTAGTATGAAGAAGAAAAAAATCATTTTTCATCAGGATAATGCAACCGCCCACACAGCTCAAAAACCATTGCCAAATTTACTAAATTAAAGTACGAATTGCTGCAACATCCACCCTATTTGCCAGATTTGGCTTCCTCTGACTTCTGGCTGTTCTCACATTTTAAAAAATTCATGCATGGACAGCATTTTTCATCAAACGAAGAGGTGATAGCAGCTGTGGAGAGTTATTATGCAGGCCTTACGGAGAATCACTATAGAGATGGTATTCACAATTTGGAGGAACGTTGGAATAAAGTTATTGAGCTTCTGGGAGAATATACTGAATAATAATATGCATTTCAAGCCATAAAATTGTGTTTTTCATTTCTATTCTAGAACTTATTGACTGGCCTAGTAAATATTTGAAGCAGAATAAAAAATCCAGAAGCATAAATACAACAGCCAACAGCGCATTCATAAAAAAGATTTAAAGAGTGTGCCGAGCTTGGTACAAATGTTGCTAAAGGATTAACTTTTTTAATGAGAGCTTGAAGTCCTGCATATCTCCCAGACATGGGAGATATGCAGGACTTCAAGCTCTCATTTAGCAACAGTTGTTAAAGATTAATATAAAAATTAAAAATTCAGCATTTGCTAATTCTTTAGATTTATGACCAGAATCGGGTAAAAACCCTAAAAATCTTTCTACCGGACAGCCATTCTTTTGAACATACCAAAAAATAAATGACAATTGATCTACATGAGTAATGTCAGGAGTAGAATCAATACTGATGGAAAAGTATTTGGCTTCCTTTATTTTATTCACCATTTTGTTGAATAACATTGTTTGCCATTATACTTAAGAACTGATCATATATATTAAATGATAGGTACGATGTTGAACCTTTTCCTCTATTTCCAAACTTTTCAATGTGTTG